TGGCAATTCTGAGACTAAAAGTTCTGTTGACACTAATGAATGCTTAACACAGACAACATGTAAGAAAAAGGTAACCTTCCAGACTATAGGAGGCATTGTTTAAACAGGGGATTAGCCTTGAGACTTATTTACAATGTCACAAACCGTGCAATGCAAAATTAGAGTCTCAGCAGTCTTTGCTTAGAGACTTAAAGATAACAGGATCTGATATCTAGTGGCTGGTACCATCTTCTGTCAAAGTGACCAAATTAACCAGCAACATCCAAAACAAACATAATAACCAATCCCAGTAGAGACTGATTAAAAGGAAGAGGAAAGGCCAGAGCAGCAGAACTCGCAGAAACCCACTTAAACTCTTCTGCAGACAAGGTATTTTACAGAAGTCTTTGAGAAGTGATCTCACAGCCCCCAAGTTCCAAAGTGACATTTGGGAAATAGCCATTCTACACTCTGTAAAAGGGGAATACAAAGAGTAATGACTGTAAAAGGAAATGAGTAGTTGGTTACTCAGACAAATGGAAAAACTAGGACACACAGGATTAGTCATTTTTTAAGAAATTCATTTTATATTTTATTTATTTCTTCAATAGTTTAATACAATACATACAAAACAATATAAATTAAATCTGGGTTCAAATTTAAGTGAAATCCATCTTTATTTACACATCTGTGCTTCAGATTCCTCTGCAGTAGGAACATCCATGCTTTCCCGTAACACTACGTTCTCTGGGGCAGAAGAGAAACCCAAAATATAAGGATCATGCCAAGCATCGTCAACAAGTCTAGACTAGCCACTCCTCTCCAGTTTCTGGGACTGTGCTACAATTATTGCAAATGTGTCTTTCATTTGAATATACGCCTAAGAAACTAAAACCAATATAACTGTTAAAACCTGTGCTCAAACTGGCCCTTCTTCTTGCAATGGAAAGAATCATTGTGTCTCATTCGGCATAGCCAAGGGCTTAAAGTGACCTAAGGACACCCCCAGATTGGGGTGTTGTGTGGTCATGTTCTAGCAGCATTTTCTCCTGATGTTTCTCCATCCTCTGAAGATGCCAGCCACAGATGCATGTGAAACATCAGGAGAAAATGCTGCTAGAACATGGCCAGACAGCTCGGAAACACCCAGTGATTCAGGCCGTGAAAGCCTTCGACATTACATCCGCAGATTGTGCTGGGTACCGGCATCTTTCAGGATCTAGTCCAGATTTGAAAGTTCTGAACCAAATTATCCATCAGACTATTAAAAACTCCACAGAATTTAAAAGCTCTGTTTTTAAAACTGTTCACATTTAGTAGTTTAAGATTTACACATCTCATTTTCATCAATATATTTTAGACCACCACCCTGTCATGCAACTCAAAACACGGAGGACATCCATGTAGCAATAGTGTACACACTCCACAATCTCAAAGCTGTTATTTCGATCATTCCAGCTAAGTACTGTTGTAAGATAGTGTGTCAACACATTTACCTCTTCTGATTAAAACAAACCTTTGCACACCACAGATCTTGAAAAAAGAATACACTTAAATATTCCTTTATCTAATAATCTAATTAGTTATCTGTTTCTCAAGTGTCAACGCAATTATCAAAAAATAAAACACATTTATTAAATTATAATTTAGAGCCTTAACATACTATCCAAATCACATGTGGGGACACTATTTAAAAGATGAAAGAACAGATAAAGTAAATTGATGGTATGCTGTCAATGAGTACATGATGATCTTCATTATCTCTTTGGATCTGTTATATTTTCAGCACCAAACCATGCCTATTTTACCACCAGTCTCCATTTCACACAAAGACAGTACAGCTCGGAAGTCCCAGAAATAAGTTACAGTGTAATATATAGTTAACATTTCCAAGATAAAAAGAAGTGTTCAAACCAGACATTTTAGTACAAGAATTCTATTCTTTGTGATATTCCACAATCGACAAATATTGGAAATGCTGATGGATGTATCTTCTCTCAGAATGAACAAATGTGTAATTAAACATAGAACAGGATGTCAAATCAACCATTTGAAGTAGATGAATCCATAGAATGAATCATTTTGATTAGAACCCAAAGTGCAAATCTAGTCCACAGGACTATTTTTTTAATTGGAAAAAATGTACACAATTCATGTTATTATGCTTAAGCATTGCTTGTATCCTAAAAACTAAGATAGTTTTGGTTACTCATCTCCCTTTTTTTCTATTGCATAAACTAAAACATACAGCCCCGATCTAACTAACACAGTTATATATTTGCTCACTTTCAAGTATGCCATCGTGTCCATTGAGGTCATCCTCCGGTGCTTGTGCTGTACCTCCTAGACTGAAGCAGTGACTCATCAGACCGAATGCTCCTTTGTACAAAGCATATTTCTAATGGAAAATATCATGTCCTGAATACAGATTTTTCAACTTGGCCTTCCCTAGTTTTCTACATATGTTTTTCCTTCTCTTGGAGCATTCTTCTGGGGAAGTGGTCACCTACATCCTCAGCGGGCCTAGTCCATACATAGGCTAACCACCTGTTAGAACTAAGCCCAGTAGGATTTCTTTCAATAGAACACGCACTGGATCATAATGTATGCTGAATCCCACTGCTGCTTTTTGTTTACCCTACTTTATTAGATTGGGGCTTTTGTTTCTATTCAAACTGACAAAGTAATACTGCTTACAATATAATGCATATCTGAACTGTAAACGTATCTATACATTTTGTTGGGTGGGGTATAATTCTTCTTCAAAAACAAATGTATAAACTTAAAAAGAGTGCATGTATCCTGAATTCCCAGGTGGGCCTGAGATTTCTTGTAAACAACCAATACTACATGCTTCGAACAAAGAAATTAGGGAACATCACCAGGAGAAGGGCAGAGGAGAAGGAGACTTTTTGGATCTTTTCTCTTATATGCCACATGAAAGTGCTATCCTGAAAAAAAACATAATTCTACTCAAAAATGCAAAGATGTGCATTGATCTTTACTATTTAGGAAAGGAATAAAAATGCTGCAACTGCATAACAGAGGTGTCTTTTTGATTTAAAAACATGGTCCATTTAAATATCTCAATAGAATACATCCTACTCAATTTGTTATGACACAAATCCGCGCTAATTAGCAAACGCACACAATGGAGGCACCAACTCATGAAGGAAAAGGTTTACAACACCTAATTGGATACATAGTGTTGACACTGCAACAGTGCTGACTTTGTAAGGTGTGAAGAAAACAAAGCATGCCGGAGGATAGTATTTCCCCTTTAAAGTGGCACATAAAAATACTGATGTGATCATATAAATCTGTATAAATAGATCCCTGTTGCAGTATTACACATAGCTAGAAGATGATCAATGTTCTAGCCTACAAATACTTTGAATGTCCAGGTTTGCAAGTTTAACTACTCCTATTCCTAGTTGAGTTCATTTTTGGAAACATTTATTCAGCCCTCCAATGAAATGGCTCATACATTTGTGTCTACAAATGTTATTCCATGAACAGCAATGCTTAATACTAAGATCAAAAAGGAAAGTGTGTTTATCCTATTCTGGAAACAAAGACAAGTAGCCACCATCTGCTAAGGAGAACCCTTTGATAATTCTCAAATATAAAAGCAATGTCTATTTTATGGGCCTGGTTTAACTGTGTTTCCAGGAGGATGCAGCAGAAAGGAGGGCCCTTCCACACAGCCATATAACCCAGAATATCAAGGCAGAAAATCCCACAATATCTGCTTTGAACTACTTTGATATATGGTAGTGTGGACTCAGAAAATCCAGTTCAAAGCAGATATTGTGGGTTATTCTGCCTTGATATTCTTGTGGAAGGGCCCGGAGACTTGACTAGAGGCCAGTGGTAAAACCTAATTATCTAACTTCCATACGGAAGTTCGTTTATTTAATGTTATTCTACTGCTTAATAAATTTTTCAAATGCAAGATAGCTCATTTACTATTCTGCGTTACAGAAATTTAGCATAGTATGGGACGTACTACAACTGAAAATCTAGTTTACTTGACTATACATTTTAATGCCAGATTTATAATTTTAATTGATACAAATACATAATGTGGGCTGAACACTTTTAAATAACTAGATTACAATCTAAACAAATTTACGACCACCCAGTTGTGCAAGAAAGGTATATTATTTAATATATATAATGGAAATTAACCCAACCTGCATGCCAATTTTAATTTGTGAATCAGCAAGTACTAACTCTTTTGAAAGAATGCAGTATAAATCACTCTATGCTAATAGCTATGGCTGTGCAAGTTCATGTTGTATTTTTTCAAGCATTATTTTTACTCTTAAAAACAACATCTGAGTACATAGATGGCTTAAAACACTAATTGAAAACCTGAGTATCTTCTATAAAATCTAAATTTAAAAGAAAAATATAGTGCTTTAATGAGTACCAAGTGCTGTGTGCTGTGTTTGCAGGACTCCTAATATTTTAAGATCCATTTCTTTTTGTTATTTCTTTTCACAGCCATAATTTTCTGAAGAAATTGGAAGGAATTTTAAATTGTGAAAAGAATAGAGCACTTACTGAAAATACCATCAGGAGTTTCTCAATCAATGACATTTCAGCATTTACTAAATTCCACATAAAGCAGAATGGGAGGCCTTTGAAAACTGTACAGTGAAATGAAGAGAAAAGAGATTGTTGTTAAACAGATTTCGCAAAAGCCACTGTTGCCATTTTCTTAACTAATTTTGTTTAAAAAAACGTTCACCTTGGCTCAATGGGAGATTGGTTGCTACACTCCCAAGGAAATAATATTCTCCTAAAAGCTGTATTTTAAAAGCTTGCAAAAATTAAAGAGTTTAATACTGAACTAGAAAGAAAAATCAGGGCACCCAAACAAAATCAATCTCATTTCAAAAGATAAAGTATTTATTCCTTACCAATTGAATGAAATGTAAACAAGGAAAGGGTCTATGGCAGAACACATTTACTCCATGTCAGTGATGCCCTGCTCATAACTGTCACAGCTCCAGAGGCTCCCTTCTCTACGTATCAGGCACAGCAAGTTTCTCTCATGCTCAAGGCTCTGGGGGCCCTTTTCACCATTTGCGTGTTTCCTTGCCCACTTACCTCCTATCACACGCACTATTCTTATATGGAGACACATTGTTTTAAAAGAACGACACTTGTGTTATTTATTAGAGACACAGTAGCTAACTAGGTAGTATTTGATGTTATCTAGATCCAAAACCATTGCCTCAGCACAGGACAATCTTGAAGTCCTCCAAATGAAAACATGTTAAGAATTGTTGATATGGTAGCTTAACTTTATCCTCATTCGCACAGAACCTTATTACAAGTTAACACCTTGTAAAAAATTGTGACAGGGCTTCATTTTGTCTTGTGGCTCAATGAGAATTAACAAGAATAGAAGGAGATGCATGGGTAAGAAGAAATCAATTTTTCTGAGCCCATTCTTGAAGAAAATTAGTCAAATACTTCACACAGATGTGAATTAAATCCAGTAATTTTTAGCCAATCAGTCTTTTCATTATAGCCGGCCTTGAGAAAGGCCAAGAATACTCATTTGGAACTGTACCATTTACATTGCATTCAAAAAAAGAGAACATAGGAAACCAAATTCTGGCCCTCCTGCTCTGTTGATAAGCTCTTGTGTTAGCCAATGTGTGATAGTACAAAAAGAGTCTTGTAGTAATGTAGAAGGCAATGAAGACATCAATAGAATAATGTTCATGTGCAGCCAAAATGAAGAAAATCCCGAAGAGATTCAGCACCCAGGACAGAGTGTGCAAGAAGTTCCAGCTTCTTGGTGTATCTGCAAAAGAAATAAAGCATTAAAACAAATGTGGTTTCTACAGTTTCATAATAATGAGAGATAGGTGAAAGAGCCAGTGTGGTGTAGTAGTTTGAATGTTGGATTATGACCGTGGAGATCAGGTTTTGAATCCCTGTCCAGTTATGGAAGTCCCTGGACAAGTTATACTCTCAGCCTCCAAAAAAGGCAAAGGTAGCCCCTCTGAACTGATCTTGCCTAGAAAAGCCCATGAAAGATTTGCTTTAGTGTTGCCACATGTCAGAAACAACCTGAAGGTAAACAACAACAGGCACATCTGGAGAGCAGATAAATAGAAACCAAAGGAAGGTCCTGAACAATCCCATTTACCAGATAAAGGACCAAAGACTACCAGGAGGTTACTTGCAAGAGGAGTACATGGATCTCATTTGGTTTAAATGTCTGTTAATAACATGCCTGACTATTATGGCATCTTTGAACTGATCTTTCTCTTGTACTTTTATCCACAGCTCCTACTCTCCTTTAGACCAGTTGTTCTCAACCTTTGGTCCTCCAGGTGTTTTGGACTTTAACTCCCATAATTCCTAAGAGCTGGTAGGATGGCTAGGATTTCTGGGAGTTGAAGTCCAAAACACCTGGAGGATTACATGTTGAGGACTACTGCTAGACCATAAAGATGGGGACAGTGCAGTACCTGCCTTTGGATAATTTATTTTCTAGAGCAGAGGTCCTCAAACTTTTTAAAGAGAGGGGCAGGTAACAGTCCCTCAAACTGTTGGAGAGCCGGATTATAATTTGAAAAAAATGAATGAATTCCTATGCACACTGCACTTTTCTTATTTGTAGTGCAAAAGACACTTTAAAACAATACAATAATTAAATGAAGAACAATTTTAACAAATATAAACTTATTAGTATTTCAATGGGAAGTGTGGGCCTGCTTTTGGCTGATGAGATAGGATCGTTGTTGTTGTAGATATGTGCTTTCAAGTAGTTTCCGACTTAGGTTGACCCTGAGCGAGGTTTGAGGACCCCTGTTCTAGAGCATCAACAGTATGTGAACATATACGTTTCATGCTGTGTTTGTACCAATAAAAAAATTATGATGGCATCAATACAAAATCAATATAGCAACAGTATACATCTTTAAAATAAAGGCAGCAATCCACTTTGAGTATTCAACATTTAATATTTGTCTTGCTATGCTTTCCATAATGAATCCAATCGCCTACTACTGCTGCCATATAGATAGACAGTTTCCTGACTTTCTTTCAATTCAAACCAGTTTTCTCCCCCACTTAGCCATTTACCTCCTGAACAGAACAGCTTGATGTAACAATAACTATCGAAACAGTAACACACATGATTAATGGCAGCAATCTTGTAGTATTTCAGTGTTGCACTTACATTCAGTGACGAAGAAGTTTAGCATAGTCAGGACAACAGTATGGCCACTGAACATGTAATCTCCACAAGTATGTACTCCTGTTAGCGTCATGCCAAACCCACTCCAGATTGCAAAGGCCCGTTGAAGTTTTGCCCATACATTGCCATACAGCTAGAATTAGAATCATATAAAACATTGTAAAGGAACACATTAAGAACACTTGAAGAGTCTTGCCATTTCGGAAAGCACTGTTATCCGCCCCCTGCATTCCACAAATAATTGAAATACAGTTCATGTTTTATTTTAGTATTACTCGTCTTTTTTTATCTGATGCATCAATTATACAAGATTTCTCATACTTCAAACATTGACCTACCTGAAATAGATTTTCATATTTCTCAGGTAATATATATTCATACTTTTAAACACATTGTGTATACCTATGTCTATGCATTAATGTGCCATAACATATAAAAAGACTAGTATCTTTTCACAGGTCTTTTTAACTTTGCCTTAGTGAAGATGAAAGTATTGTAATACCTCTATCTCATCATTTCAGAAGTCTGTGCACTTGCCCTGTAAAGTGATTCAGTATGACAGGTTGAATCTCCTTTTCCTGAAAATCCAAAAAAAAAACCAACTCCCAAACTCAAAACTTTTTGCTACCCCCCCCCCCCCCCCCCCCCCCCCCCCCCCCGCTTCACCATTGAGGAAAGGGGCTGAATTTATTCTCAAGGAGCTGTTGCTTCATCATACTCTGAAACTTGACGATGGAAAAGGAGGGCCCTGGATTCTATCGCTGGACTTACTCTGTAAAAAGTAGGCATCAGGAGAGGGAAAAGTCCAAATGCATTTAATTGCCAAGGGCTCTGCGATTGCTGCAAAGCTCCAGCTGTCTGATAAATCGATGCCATATTTTCCTTCTGTCAAGTCAATGACGCAGCAGGGTAGGTGTCCTGGAAATGGGTTGTGAGTGCTATATAGATCGGTCAGGCAGCTGAAGCTTTGTAACAAGCACAATAGCCAGATGCATTTGGACTGTCCCAACACATGCTTTTTACTAGGGTTGTGTGTAAGTCTATCAGCAAAATCCAGAGTACTCCCCCTTTCCTTTCTCCAGCTTCTTGAGAAAAACTCAGTAGGGGCAAGTCCCTTTTCCCCCTATCCCTCACTCAGAATGAATATGAAAATAAAGATATTCCAAACTCCCAAAAATGAGTATATGTTCTGAATATAAAAGATCCCTACTTCAGTCTGCATTTTCTGTGTTCATTGGGGGGGGGGGGGAATCAGAAGACCCCTAACCCTTCTGAGATCTTCAAAACATTTAAAAACAATACCAGAAGTGAGTTGGGAGCCACTTCGATGTTTTTCATGGAGTTGGAGGGCATTTAGACACAGTATGCTAATTTTCTTGGCAGTAGAAAATGGGACCCCATAACCTGTTGAACCTCCCCATTCAAAGTGAAAATGTTTAGCTAAAAAGTGATGCTGAAGTGCTGCTGCCAAACCAAGCAGACTAACTTTTAACAACAAGGTGCCTTCTAGATGTGCTGTAGCATGCCTCCTTATCACTCCTATTATTAGACATGAAGTCTGAAATGAATGGGGAAAACTGCACTGAACTGGCAAACAGCTTAAGCTGGTAAAAGGGACTTCTTACATTCCTAATTTCTCAGAAATGTTATTTCTCCCCAAGAATGCATCATAGGAAAAAATCAAGCAATGCAGTTGGGAGCAGAAGACAGATGCTAGCTTACCTTTCCAGAACACTGTAAATGTTGGCCTGGCACAGATAGTGAGGTCACAAACATTGTGAAGCAACGGAGTAAGAATACTGTACCCATCAGACTGCATAATCTTCGTAAAAGAATAGATCTAGAAACAAACATAAAGTGTAGGCTTCAAAACTTGGCCTTGAACTCTTGAATAAGCTAAGCTAAGGAAATCCAAGGGAGGAATGTATTCTGTCCCTTCTACACCAAACAGCTCTAAGCATCACTCTTGAGATGCTTTTTTTAAAGGGGTGCAGGTGGCCATAAGAACAATAAAAATAAACGTTTATTCCAGGAAATACACATGAGGACCATGAATCTGTTTGCCATGATAGCTTTTTGAACTTGGATATTTTATTATGTTTTCGTGAAATTCAGAGGCTGCCAAACCTGAAGGCAAGCCAGGATTCCTGCAGATACACTGCAAGGTCATGGATACTTCCCATCAAAGACAGCACAAAACTGTGAACTTCATTTAGTAACACTGTGTGCTACACGTTTAGGACCTTATTAAAACATAATGGCCAACATGCAAATTGCATTAGGTGAGCGGAGGGTCACAGTAATGTGATCTCCCTCCAAGTATAGTCTTTACTATTAAAGTTGCATCTCCACAGAGTTAAAAAAAAAAAAGAGGGGGGACGCCTTAATTTTCCAGCCATCAAAATAAAATACAATGGGCACATAAATTCCATATGGATAACTGCTAACAGAAATTCCTCCTGCTAGTAAGTTTGCTCACACAAGCCTCATGTAACATAAAGGTCTTTTGAAACTGAGTTTATGAAGTAACTGGTTCATATACTTCTGGCAATGGCATACCATATTTTTTCAAAGCTAGACATACACTGGAGTATTACAAAATAAGCAATGTGATGTAGCTTGCTGTGCCTGCTAATGTTTCTCAAACCACATCACATTCTCAAATTGTTTTCTGGTAATGACTGAACAGGTGAAAAAGTGCTATAAACATATACCTCACCATGTTGAGTAGCTACCATGGGTGCAGTTTGCGCTTTCCATGGTACTTTCTTTATATCCAGAGGACTTTAGTATTCCCAATTAGTGGAGAATCACATTCTCCTTGATTCTGAAATGAAGTGGACAGATAAAACAAGGTAGCCTGTTCTTTCCAAATTTAAGTTCGAGGGACTATACCTATGTTTATGAAGTAGGAGAACAAGCAACCAGATGTAGCAGAGAACCACTCCACATACTTCTGTCATGGCAAAAGCCCATGGTATCCGAGGAACACTAAAAATAGAAATGAAAAATATGACATGAAACATTTAAAAGTCAGTCCTTGACCTGCATATTCAAGCAAATTGATGTTCATATTTAATTAACACCTTTACAAACCTAAGTCCTTTGGCTTAAAAGAAAAGCATTCATGTATATAACTAATTACACACCACTCTGCTAGCAATGGCAGTCAGATTAATCTGAGCTCAACTTTGATACTTTAATATGGCACACCAAGGAGCAACTCTGAATGTGTCAGAAGGATCAAAGTTCTGTGGAGATTAACTGTCATTGTTGTGTGCCTTGAAGCCATTTCCAACCTCTGGCAACTCTAAGGCAACCCTATCACTTAATTTTCTGGGTAAGATTAGTGCAAAAGAAGTTTGTAACTGCCTTCCTCAAAGGCTGAGAGAGTGTAACTTGCTCAAAGTCAGCCAGTAGCTTACATTGCCAACGATGATTCAAACCCTCTTCTCCAGAGTCACAGTCCAATGCTCAAAACCACTATACCATTTTTTACTATATTAAATTTGTCTTTTGCTTAGCTAGTGTAAAATTGATCCTACTCCACTGAAATATTTATAATCTCTTTGAAATCTATAAGTGACTGTGCATCAAAACCAGAATCATGATGTGAAAGTGGTTTGCTACACAATTCTCTATTTTTTATGTCTAAACACACAGGTCAACTATCGAGTTAAACCTCTTGCATATTGGATGAGTCATATATGGTGCAGGAAGATGCTGAAGACCTCTTTATACAAGCAGTAGCCATAGCAAATGATGGCATTTCAGCCTAGCCTTTTGACTAGAGGAGATGTCAGCCACCCTTTATGCTCCTCCTGATACAGGCCATCTCTCTGCTTGGTTTTTTAATGCCTTACCGACCAGTTGTAATCAAGGCACTGAGAGGAGAAAAAGTCAGTTCTTGAAAAGACACAAGCAATAATCCAAGTCAGTCATTCTACTGTGCCATGACTCCAAGACCCAATCACCCCATATTTCATCTCCCTTTGGTGTCCCACCAGGTGTTTTGCTCCTTATACATGTTTTAATACAGCTAAGAAAGTGGTAGAAGGAAATGTGATTCTAGAGTCAAATTCCATCCTTATGCTGTACAGATTATTGGGCTAGGTATGTCCCAAGTAATAGTGATACCCCTAGTAAAATATCCTCCAGATTTACTTATCAAGAAACTGTCACCCTTACATAATATATCTCCAATATATCTACAAAAAGACCAACTCTGCAAGTAGTATTTAACATTTCTAATTTCCATTTCAAACCCTAAGCACTGTAACCTAATAAATGCTTTAGGAGAAAAGAAGCAAATGCCAAATAATTTTCAATTGAATGCTTTTATGTTAATGAAAGTTATAAAATTCAAATATTTATACACTGCTGTGGTGTACATAAATCTATTCTGACAGCCCCTTAAAATAAAGTTCTCTGCCATTTTACCATTTTTGATGATCCAACACTATCTGAGGGGAAAGGGGTACTTTTTCAGTTGTTTTTTCTAAATTACATCACTTTCTTGAAGTAGAGTTGTTTTTCTCTTGGCTGAATGAATCCATCCTACTTAGCATTACCATGGTTCACAGTTTTATTGTAGCTTCATTCTTCTATAGCTCCCCATTCATCTGTTATTCACATTTCATCCTACTTCTTGTAATAATAATTCTAACTCACACTTTCTTCTACAGATATTTATCCTACCCTTCAATGCATACCATTTCAGTTACTCAACTAGTAAAAGAAAAACAGATTCAAAATAATAAACATGCCTTTTAAAAACCAAGTAACACTACCACATAAATGATATCAGCAGATGATGTTTAAAAACCTGAGAAAATGAAAGTCTTTTGCATCAAAAGGACATAAACATTAAACAAAAAATCCCCTCTAGGACAGCATTTTGAAGGTGGGATGTCACAACTGAAAGAGCTCTGCCCAAAAATGCTACCTGTCTATTTCTAATGAAGTGGCCAGTCAGAAGAGGGCCTTCAATGATGACTTAGGGCAGCTTATGTAAAAACAGATGTCTAGCTCAAACAAGAAAAAATCCTGTGAAAATATGAGTACCCTAATACAATATGTCCCCCTCAACTGGTCCAGAAGTCTAACAGTAGCTTCTAACTGGTTTTCAAAGACAGTCCCATGAACAAAACATTACAGTAGTCTATTCTGTAAGTTACCAAACTGGATGACTGTAGCCCAGAATGGGCTGCAGGCCCCCAATGAGAGTAAATTGGCAAAGGCTCACATTCCCCATGCCTTTAAATCAGTGAGTCTCAACCTGCTGGTCCTCAGATGTTTTGGCCTTCAACTCCCAGAAATCCTAACAACTGGTGAACTGGCTGGGATTTCTGGGAGTTGTAGGCCAAAACACCTGGGGACCCACAGGTTGAGAACCACTGCTTTAAATAGTGAGGCAAGTCTTTCTGTCTTAAGCAGAAGGATTGGGGGAGGGTCTTTCAATTGTTCCTGAAGTAGGATGCAACTGATCACTTTCTCACTTCCAGTTTCTACTAATCTCTTCTACGAGGGTGTACTGCTAAGTTGTGTGTATTGTTGTGTGCACTGATTTATGTGTCCTACACCTATGAGTGTGTATACTGCCTGAGAAATTTAGTTTCCTATTAGAGTTTAAATTGCTTCAACACTTTTACTGTATATATTTTTCTTTCTTGTGTAAATGAAATCCCCATAAGAAATAAGCTCCAATCAGAGAAGTTGGGACCAAAGTTGACATGTGCGTCTGGGGAGAACACAATCTGATGATAGCAATCATATGACTGCATGACCTAAAGAGCCACTCTGTTTGTCCAGAACGCTAAATCTTTGAGGTTAAGACAAGCCCAAGCAAACACATTACAATCAATCATTACGTTTTAATGGAAGGATAGCTGTGGTAGCACCTTTTAAGAAGTACAGACACAGCTAGCCCTTAATTTATTTCAATATCCCAAACGACATAAACAAGGATGACAATGTAAAGGGAATCAACTCCCAGAAATTTACTATTTGGAATGTGTTTTTTAAATTATCTACCCCACTACTGCTGATGGATTTTGGCAGCATTTTAAACAGGACAAATATGCAGCTGTTTATTCCCAAGACACAAGAACAAGCAAAAATATCTACCTACATGTGTATATTATATATATCACTAATTTAAGCTCTCTTGAACTTTTGGAGACAATAACTTATAGAGCAGTGGTTCTCAACCTGTGGGTCCCCAGATGTTTTGGCCTTCAACTCCCAGAAATCCTAACAGCTGGTAAACTGGCTTGGATTTCTGGGAGTTGTAGGCCAAAACACCAAGGAACCCACAGTTTGACAACCGTTGTTCTAGAGGAACTTCTTAATAGAACCAGGCAAATTGGTACCTGTAGGCTACAGCCAAATAACATTTTTTAAAAAAAATTCTACAAACACCATCGGTAGACAGTCTTAAACATATGGAAACACTCATGAGTATCCCTATCATATAGTGTTTTTCCCCATTGAACACAAGGTGAAATAGCTATTGAGTGCCAGAACCACTTATAGTGGTTTGAGCATTGGAATATGACTCTAGAGATGAGAGTTTGAATCTCTATTCAGGCAAAGAAACAAATAACCTAACCTTGGGCAGGGTACATTCTCTCAGCCTCTGAGAAAATCAAGCTTCCTCTGAACAAATCTTGCCAAGGGAAACTTGTGATAAGGTTACCTTAGGGTCACCATAAGTCAGAAATGACTTGAAGGCACATAACACAAACAGTTAACACATCTTTAAAGTTCAGTTGTACTATAAGAAAAAGCAATCCAAAGAAACTGAAACATGTAATAAATTTAGGAGCTAACTGAGGACCTAAACTGTGATAAGAGATCCTTTCATCTGTTCAGTTATTGCACTGTTGCTATCCCATCTATTATAAGCCAATGATAACACTGGCCAACAGACATTTTGGTGCCTAAGATTTTAGCCATGTTTCTGGGTACATTTGACCTGCTGATTGCAAAAATGGTACCCGTTTTCCTCTTACCATGATAACTATGCCTAAAAAACTATAGCTGATGCTTTATCCAATGCTATTTTCTGAATCAGTGCCCCCAAATATCCCAAGAAACAAGTCCAGAAACCAAGACACCAAAAAACATTGTTTAGCTGTCTAATCATCAGAAAGATTAGGTCTTTCCCTTGGCCTACAAATTCTTATGAATCTTTTAGCGTCATTTCTGAAGTGCTTTGCAATCAGTGCTAGTAATATATCCTTCTGGGAGAGAGTGTATGGGTACTGGACAATCACACAAACATAACATTGCTTAGAAATTTGGCTGGCATTTGTTCTGCTGTCACATGCTTCTGTTACAAAAGAATAAGAAGACAGAAACCATTCATGACTGTAATTTTCTGTTTTGTTTGCTGCCTCCTCTTTTAACACTCACTCCACCAAACCCCTTCCAGCACTTTAATAACAGCAGCTTGGTCTAACACTTGGTGGACAATTGTTACCTTAAAAATATCATAAACTTGTTTTTCTTTTTTTAAAAAAATGTTGCCTTAATTCAGCATCAGCATCGCTTTTGCAGATAATATTACATCATTTAAATTAAAACAAAAGCCACTCTGTGGCTACAAAAATAATAAACAGGTATCAGTTGAAGTCTATAGAACCAAAAGCTGTTGCTGGGTATTTCAACGCTTCCTCCCAACAAGAACAGGCATAAGTATTGCTCACTGCTCACGTGATATCTACTGCAGGGCAATGTGTTTTTTAAAACACACGTGTTTAAAAGATGTTTTGAAAGAATACTGGATAGCTCACTATATTTCAAAGTATTAAGGATGTGCTTGTGTGTTCAGGCCTTCAAGTCACCTGTTGACTTATGGTGACCCCATAAATTTCATAGGATTTTTTAAGGCAAAGAAAAGTCAGAGGACATTTTGTCCATTCCTTTCTCTGTAATATAGCCTACAGCACCTGGTATTTGCTGGCAGTCTCCCATTCACGGAAAATCTGGGCTGACCCTGCTTAGCTTCCAAGAACTGATGCCTTTAGGGTATTCTGACCCCTGACTGGGAAATAAATAATCAAAACAGCAGGTAGCCTTCTTGTGTTTATGAATTGTTTGTAATGAATTAAGTGGTACTGGCTGCCAAGTAAATACAGATTAAAAATGCTTGGGTAAGTGCTTTGCATCTTTTTTTTTTTGGGGGGGGGGGAGGTACCTGCATTTGCATATAAATACACAGTAAGATATTTTGGAGATGGGGACCAAGTCTAAACATGAAATTCATTTATGTTTCATGCACTGTACACCTTATACACATTGCCTGGAAGTAATTTTATACAATAGTTTAACTTTATCCATGACACAAAGTTTGCATACACTGAACTATCTGAAAGTAGAAATATCACTATGTCACCCAACTATGTGAACCTTTTCAGATTTTCAGATAAGGAATGCTCAACCTGTACCACGCACACAATTTATATAAGAACCTGCAGTTCAAGACTACCCTACCTTAGATGCCATCTTCTCTCATATATATGTGTGGTCATCTTGCTCAGGAACAAAGGAAGAGGCTCTGCCACAACTAATTCATACTACGTGGCTGCACTGTGGAGGAGGGCTTTCTCAAATGCAATGCTCACTAAACAAAACAGTTTCCACACTAAGATCAGGCAACACTCCCAATGTTGGGTTTTTCTCCCATCAATTAAAGATTTATCTGTTTACCACACATTTTCCTGAACAGGTTAGTGGATTTCATAATTTTTATTCTTCTTGTTTTTAACAATTTCTTTTAGTTTAGTTTTGGAAACTGATCCAAGTTTAATACAAAGCTGTATAAAATATTATAAACAAGAAAAACTCTGTTTATTTATACTAGTAAAAAGGAAAGAAAATATTCACCCTTTTTAGCAGATCCATGTGTGCTATATTCTGATAGTAACAAAAGCTTGGGTAATGTACCATTAAAGCTACATGTGCATTTCCTGAACATGTTTTTTGGGGTTACAGTGACCAATTGGTGGCACAGCAGCACCAAAAGTGGGATATGGCTTCTATTCCGTTCAGAGAGCATAAAATGTAGCTTTTCATCTCCAAAAGTTACCCTATCTATATAAATAAAAATGTAATATTCGTTTGTGGGATTAACATAACTCAAAAACCATTGGACAAACTGACACCAAATTTGGACACAATACACCAATCAGGCCAATGAGTGACCACCACTCATAAAAACACTGAAAAAAAACACAGCAGAAGAGACTTAAAAAGCCAAAACATTTAAAAAATACATTACAATGCATGCCCAAAACCTCATATATACACAAACACACAAAAACCAAATATACACACACACATACACATATATAAACACACGAAACACATATACACAGGCTGAGCCACAGCAACGCTTGGCAGGGGACTGCTAGTACTAAAATAAAGTAAATAAAATTTGAGTTATGCTTTCCATATCTATTAACAAAGCATTAAATATTAAGATGCAAAATTGGATCTGTTCAAACTACTAAAGGCTGGGGTTGGAAACAAAATGCTTTAATTAACTACAGGCAGTTCCCGAATTACAAACATCCAACTTATAAACAACTCACAGTTAAGAACCGGGGTGGGACAACAGGAAGTGAGAGAAATCTACCCCAAGGAAGGAGAATTCACTGAAACCTTCTTACCAATACTTGTTTCAACAAGAAGCCATTTTAAAAAAATTCCAATTGTCACAGGGACAGAAAGCAAGATGAAATCTTCTGAACAGGGGCACAGACAGCAAAACAAACACCACAGGGGTGTTAATCCTTCTCTGTGGCATCCAAAGTTTATCTTTGGATATTACAGACTGCCCCTGTTCAGAAAAAAAGAAACAAAAACAAAACAAACAAAAAAACAATAAAAATGCAGAGCAATTTTGAGTGTGGCCATTGGGAGCCTGATACTCATATTGAACATTAAACGGTTCCGGCCCAGCTTACTTATCAAAATGTATCTCCCTCTATAAACCATCTCAGAGGTAAAGATCTTCTGGGGAGGCCCTGCTCTCGGTCCCACCTCCTTCAGAGACACGACTGGTGGGGATGAGAGACACGGCCTTCTCAGTGGTGGCCCCTCGGCTATGGAACTCTCTCTCCAGTGAAATTAGATTAGCTGCCTCCCTCCTGCCCTTCAGAAAGAAAGTGAAGACATGGTTGTGGGACCAAGCCTTTGGACATTAATCTGCAATGGAATAAGTGATCTGCAAAATAAGTGACTATGGAATAGTGCAATTTATGAAACGGCTCCTAGAATATGCCTTTGGACTGCATGGTTTTTAATGTAGCTGTTTTTAAGATTTTGTGTTTTAACTATTGATTTTAATGTGTATATATATTTATTTTATGTATGTAAAAGTGGCATCAAATTGTACCTTTTTGGAAAGCCGCCCTGAGTCCCCTGAGGGGCTGGGAAGGACGGGATATAAATGAAATAAGTAAGTAAATAAATAAATAAATATTATCATTCTCATCACTGTATTATCTGGTGAGTAAAAACCTATAGTGATTTTTTTTAAAAAAAAGCAAGAAAGAACAAACCTTGTTCAAAACTTGCAGATTTCAATAGTACTAGTTACTGTCCCACCACACTAGTTCCCATTAGCTATTCTACCATGCATTTAATGGGAAAATCTACTGCATAAGAAAAATCGTCCTGGTTTATGTTATCAATTGTGAAAACCAAAAGACACTGCAATAAACATCTGCATATCTTCTTTTCAGTGATGTACCTTTTATTCAGTAGTTCCCAATCTTTGGTTCTCCAAGTGTTTTGGACTTCAGCTCCCACAATTCCTAACAGCTGGCAAACTGGCTGGGATTTCTAGGAGATAAAATCCAAAACAACTGGAGGACCAAAGGTTAGGAACCACTGCTTTTATTAAACGTATCTTCAGAAATAGCAAAAACAGCAGAGTAGCATAATCCAGTTTCTGTATATCTATTCAGAAGCAAAAAGAACTGGATTTCTCTGGAATAAGATGGGTAGCAAATACTAAGAGTATCCAAAACCTGTCCCATGCAAACAGTACCAACTGTGGTGATGCTAATCCCAACAGCGACACAAAAATATCTCTTTACAGGCACACTTTCCTATTCTATCTACACATTTACAGAAAAGGGGGAATCAACAGATTAACCTGATGAACACAAAACTGAAAGAGGAGACAACATAAAAAGACAGTTGTTTAGAAGCTTATTCTCCTGTTTCGGCAAGAATCAACATCACACAGAGAAGTAAATCAAATATGGTATTCAAGATTATGCCAAATTCATAAAAGTATTTATAGCAGAAACTAGAAAGTTATAGTTATGCTGCTATAGCGACAATATTACTCATTATGGTACCATTCTAATTTAACTGAGTTATATTTTCATTAGTAAAAAAAGGGAATGACTTAAATGTTAGCTAGTTTCTTCCAAGCTATGGTGAAGTTACGGTTTACTCTGAAAAAGCAATTTAATTACAATTTAAACAGTTTTCTTTTTAACTTACTTCAGTCTTTCCTGCACTTTCTTCATAGTCATAAGTACAGTAATCTCTGACTAGCTAAAACAGACTGCAAGAACTCTTTCCAAATCCACAATGCATCATCCATCTATGGATATAAATAATTTGGCCCTTTGGAAGTTATAGGACTAAAAGACCCAACAAACCTAGCTGGCAGTGAAAAGTGAGAGACACTGGAGTTGCAGTTAAAATATGCAGTGTTATGAATCTTCTGAGAAAATCTCCCATCTTCACCTTGATGCTCTTCAGCCTCAAATATTTTGGCAAGATATCACTGAACTGGAGACAACCTCTATTTATATACTCTCAGTGTTTTGTATACATACAGGCTGCCTCTAGGGAGTTGTTTTGATTTTTAAAATGGAGGATGTCACATGAATATTTTAATCTAAACAGCTGAATACATCTGATTAAAAAGAATAGTTTTGATGTTAATGCTGCCACTTACCTGTCTAGGAATATGTCCGGTAGCGGTGGGTATGTCTGCATGTCAGGTACACGCTCATGGACAATGACCATGACAAACGATGTGAAGCCAAACACAATGAACACATATATACAACTCAAAGCTGTCTTCCAGTACTCTGGGTTCAGTTTTCGCGTAGAATGTTTGTGTTTGCCATTTGCATACTGATATTGCTCAGCATTCAAGTCAGCAGGAGGTTCATAGTCATCAAAATCACGTTGCACTTCACCATTAGAAAACCAATCTGTTCCTTGAAGAGAGCCAATCACAGGAGATGGTAAACTTATCGGAGAGTCACTGTTATAACCAAGCTCTTCCAAAACTTCAATGTGGTGCTTCTGTAACTTGCGTATTGATAACATGAGCCTTTTGATATCACCAAGAACCTTGATTTCCAGAGGAGGAGACCTCAAGTCATATTCAGTCAGGGTCAGTAGTGTAATGCCATCCAATCTGTGATTATCACACAAAATCTCTACATATTCACAAAAACCTTCTTCCTTCAACCACTTGGCTACATGCCTGGTAGACCAACGCCGAATGCAAAGATGACCGTTGCCTTCCATTTTCTTTGTCTCCTAAAAATCAGATGTTTTAAAGATTAAGTCAGTAATATGTAGAGGCTTTCTAAGAGATTGCTTTACAATGATAACAGTTACTTATTTTCTTACAAAATACAAAACAGATTCCTGCCTTCCTTCCTCAGAATCCTAGAACTACAATCTAGAGAAGACTACTCCCCTGTAGACACCTGTTTTTAAATGAAGAATAACATTAGCATCAACACAAAGGGATTAAGATAACATGGAACCTCACATCCTAAGCACTGGATAAGTAAGATATGTCAATTTTGGGTAAACTGATACATTCCATCCTCAAGTGATAGAGGGGTCAAGTGGAGTGCTTCTCTCTCATCCAACCGTTGGTCATTATCACATGCATGGGGAAGGACTAACCATGTTATAAGCAGAGCTAGAGAAAATGCCCCGTGACAGATTCACTGTAGGATTACCATGAAGACTCAAAAGCACACAACAACTACAAAGCCAGTTTTCTGCAGCACTTGCATTTCCTCAACATACATGACACAAGGTAATAGGACATAGCATGCTTGACAGAACCCCTTAGATTTGCATAACTTAAATCCAAAAGTGGCACATTCCTGCCAAATGGTTTGTAACTACATATGTATTGGTCTATAACTGTATTTCCATGGGAATCAAACCTACCCTTTGGATGTGGCCCAACAGATATTTGGATCAGAGCAAATGAGGTATGTGTGTGTGTGTGCATGCGCATGTCCCCTCAAGTTGCCTGTTGACTCATGGTGACCCTATGAGTTTAAATCATTTCTAAGCAAGAAATGGTTTACAAATTCCATCCTCTGAAATATAGCCTGCAGCATCTGATGTTCTTTGGCAGTCACACATTCAAATACCAAACAGGGCTGACTAGATCAGCCAGGATCTGTTGTCATCTTAAATAATTTAGGAAATAAACAAATAGACAAGAGCTTTTAAAAGTTATTGTTTTCCAATTTTAGCAAGGCACACATTTGTTCTGATAATCAATAAAGAGAAAATGAAAAAGACATCATTAACACCACAGTTTTGATTCCAAAATCTCAAGCATTCTGTTAGTCACAATCCAAGTTATTCAAATAAATTCACTCAAAATGTAGGAACAATGTTCAAAGAGGTATTACACTCTTATATACCTATCATAATCAAGCAAGAAGGGATATACGACATCCTTATCAATAAACACTGAAATGCAACATGCCTACAAACATTTTTGTTTGCTTACATATACCTATGTTAACAGTTCGTGACATCCTAGTTATCTGAACAAAAACTACCCTTTGATTAAATTGGCAAAGGCTAGTCTTCCTTCAACCCAATAGGATGTTGTGAAATGTTAACATAGCTATTGTTTAAATTGGCAGTTTACCCTGTCTGATAGTTAAGAAGCAGCTGAAAGCAAGTTATATTTTCAACATAAATATAACTCCAGAAAAAAATGTTAAATACTATATTTGCTGATGTCCTACATCTGAAAAAAAAGTCACATGAAGCAAATGTCTCCATCTACATTCCCACAAGAGTGATGTGGCTGGGACTGGCATGGCTCTCTATTTAAAATGTCAAGCATGGAGAAAGAAGCAGAACACCTTGAGGAGTACCCCTATCTAGTTTGAAATACTGTAATTTTGCTAGCTATTAATGACTCTCATCACAAGTCAAACAGCAGTTAAGATGTGATAACTGTCTATGTACTCATGTACTTCCCCGACAGTCTCCTCTTCTCCTCTTTCCTGTGCTGTGGGTCAAGTCTGCATTACCAAGTGGTGAGACAGACATGCCTATCCCAGGGCACAGATTATCAAGTACACTTCAAATTTCCCACCATCTATTGTGTAATCCCAAGTATATATGACCTTGGATACTCTAGACCAGAAGGTGGACAAAACTAAGGAGTAGGTTGCTGAATTGGATGCACATGGCACATAGAGTAACAAGGGTCTAATAGAAGAGGTATGTATGTTAAGGATTGTCATAATTCTTTTACTATTATTACTTCATTTATATATGGCCTTTCCTCAGTCCTTTCCCCAAATTAAGGCAACTTGGAAGGTATTAAAACAACAACAGATTAAAACACATACAAAGTCATCAATAAAAAATACCTATATAGACATTGTTTCAAAAGGCTATTAAAGTATCACCAGAATGAAAAACACTTAAATTCCCAATAGAACCAGACAATTGTGTGGAAGAATTTTTGTGGCAGAAGAAGACTTGAATTCTTATTTGCTCTGGCATTCAATTTATTTAAGTGGGCCTTCTAGATCAGCAATTTCCAGAACCGTATATCACTGTGTCCTGCTTTAATAAAGTCTGCATATTCATATCATTGCTCTTTAATAATATGAACTATGATAGTCCACATTTTTTCACAATTGTGGTGCACCCAGTATCAAACCCTTGTGGATATGGTAGGCCCACTGTAATGTCTTCCAATTAAGGCACATATGCCCTTTATCCCACCACTGAAAACTAGCCAAAACATCTCGACATTACAGAAAGAAAACATGCTAAGTATAAAGGATAAGAGCAAAACCAAACAGACTCAAAAGAGGACAACTTGAGTCTAAACCTTCTGATAAATTTAGAAAATGTGAACAATTAACCCTCAAAATTCTCTTCATCCCTGGAAAGCTGTGTCAAAATTACTCTAAAAGACCAGCAAAATAAAAGTCTCTTCCAATATTGCACAATAATCCTTCAGATTGTGTCGTAAGGAACTACTTCAGTGTTTATCAAGTATTCACCAATACATCAAAGGTCATCTGTGTCAGCATTATCCTAAGAAGAAAGTCCACAGTAAAGTCCAGATGGTGACAACTATTACTTCTTCTATATGGCTATTTTTAAACTTAGTTCACTGTGTACAGGAATGAAACACAACGCATTCTGATACATCACTGCTTTCAGAAAGCTGACCAGATGAGGCAAATATGTTAAAAGGGGGCAAATCTCCATCTACATCGCCCACAATTGGTGCTGAGGAGGGAAGGAAACACGATTCTCTATCAGTGGAATGGACAGAAAATTAGGATTGCATGCCTGAAAAAATGCTTTCTAAAAGAGCTCCCCCCCCCCCCCCCCAAATCTATGATTCATACATCCCTTTTCAGGATAGAGGCATATAATCAAAACAGATTACAAATTCTTAAAGGAACATTTTCTACTGCTCTACAGGAAATGAGGTCAATAAAGTACCAATACCAAGTAATTTACCTTCTGGCTTTTCTGTAGTCAAGAGTATTACTATAAGCCCCATTTTCCAGATTCTTCAGAATCGAATCAAGTGTCTCCATAAAGGAGCATTGGTAAGTGAGTGTACACCACAAAATAACACTCTCCCATTTACAAGTATTACATTAAATAAGAAGATACATATACATTTCCTGGTAAAGAAGCGTTATAATTTGCCATTTCAAGCAAAACATTTGGTCCACTCTATCTGTTCTTCATGTGTATATAATTACCTCCCCTAAAATCCGACAAGATACAACATTTTTAAAACATGGGGGGAAATATGTGTGTCCAGGAAGGGCATGTAATGAGGGGAGAACATTTTTTTAAAGAATTAGAATCTTATATATATTAAAATTCATATTGTTTCCCAAATGAATTATATACACAATGGCATCCCACTGTATGTTCTTCATAGGCATAGCACTATCATTTTTGTTATATATGAGTACAATTCAGTCAGAAGATAGTTACAAACTGAATTCCATTTTTAGAGTTTTTGTTTTGTTAGAAACAGATTTACACAGTCCTGAACTATAAAGAACTTTTCTGGTTTTGCAACTAGGAACAGCAGAATTAGGAACGGCAGAAAACAATAATAACAGAAGAAACCATCAGCATTAGAGAAACTTTTTTCTTATCTTGTTTTTAATATTATCAAACAATAAGAATTCCAATGATCAAATAGTGTATGTCCCCTGAAGAAATGGTTAACAAATTGATTAAATATGGAATAGCTGAGGACCCCTTCACAATTGGTTGAATAACCATGCTCAAAGTCATTATCAACTATGCAGATGATACAGAACTGAGAGGGATACCTCCCATTACAGGAAGACAGGAGTAGAATTCAAAAGGATATTGATAAGACAGAAATTGAGCAGAAATTAACAAAATGAAATTCAGTAGAGACAGATGCTAAATTCTACATTTAAGTGACAAAAATCAAATGCATGAGTACAGGATGGGGGTAGAGAATGCTTTGCAGTACTACATATGTAAAGGGCCTTGGGATTATTTTTGATCAGAAGTTGGACAAGGTGGACAGTGTGCTGCTGAAGAAAAAAAAGCACATAATGTTTCAGCTTGCATTAACTGAACTTCAGTTTCTAATAACACTATATTCTGTACTGGAATAATTCATTCTATTCAAGGCAACTAATTTTAAGAAGGATACAAACAAGTTGGAATCACTTGCAAGAAAGGTAGCAAGGATGGTATAAGGGAGAAAAAAACAAAACATATGAGCAATAGGTGAAAAGTCTGAGCACTGAGTGCACTTTTTAAACACCTCAAGTGCTGTCATATACAGAAAGTGCATGCTTGCTCTCTGCTGCCCTGCAAAAACAAAACAAAACCCAACCAGTTCTAATGGTTTCACATTAAGGAAGGCAGATTTTAAAACATCTTGACAGTAAGAGGGGGAGCATTTACTGTAAGCATCATCGAAAAGAAGCTGGAACGTTATAGCTACAAGAGATATCTGCAAGCTTTCTGCTGAAACTCTTCCACTTATAAATTTCTTCTACCAAAACTATATGCAAATTTCCTTTCCAAATTCTTCCTGCAACTTCTATAATCTTGTTTTAAAATCAGCATTCAAGCCAGGATACATAAATGTTTCCTTAACACACTCCCTGGAATTCTGGCTGTCTTGTTCAACAACTATCAGCATGTTAATCAAGTTTGACAGCTTGAAAGTCTAGCAGACCGACTATCAAATATATACATTCAGCTGAATACATAGGAAATAAAAGATA